CTGTTTCATTGCCTTATTTATTTTGTTTAAGTCAGGGTTTTGCTGTGAAGGTTAGGATGGTTTTGAACTCACTGTGTAGGCCAGACTGCCCTGGAACACTCTATGAGTCTCCTTCCTCAAACTCCCCAGTCCTACAGATATGTCCCACCATGTCCCGCTCTTGGTGCCTTTAAAACAACTTGAAAATATTAAGTGGCAATATAAGATTTATCTTTGAAAAACCGTGTCCAGAGTAATGGTTTTCAGTGTTTCACATTAACTATGCAAATCAAGAAAAGAGTTTATATGTTACTACGTATAAAGTCTACTTAATTTTGACTAATCATATAAATTAATAAAAATTTCAATAATGAAAATTTATAATTTGCTTGGCTGAAGAATAGCTTACAAAAAAATGTATGTTATTCTTTTTCTGTATTTTCCAGTGTGGTTTGATCACATATTATGAAAACTTCCAAATTTTTAGGACCGAAAAATGATAGGAATTCAATAATCAGCATAATAATTTCATTACCAAACAATTCTGCAGGACTAACAGGACTATAGATAAGTTTATCAGTAGAATAGCCATTTCTAGGTAGATAGGTATAGGATGGGGATGGCTTTGGAAACAGCTTCCCTCTCAGTTTATTGCTACACGTTTTACAATTTATGAGATGTTGAACGCAGGCAAAGCTGGATAAATAAAGTGATATAATGATACCATTTTAGGGGAAAGGCTGTGAAGAGCATTTTAATGAAAGAAGTACAATGAAAGAAATACGGTGCAATCAAGTTTGGTTTACATAGCTTCTTATATTTGGGCAGTGATCAATTCTTCAAATACTGTTCTGAACTAATTTGCATGTGTGTGGGGTGCTGGGGACTGAATTTAGGGGCACTCTATCACTGCGCTATATCTCCAGCCCTTTTTATTTTTTAATTTGTGATAAGGTCTTGCTACGTTGCCCAGGCTGGCTTCAAACTTGTGATCCTCTTGCCTCAACCTTCTGAGTAGCTGGGATTACAAGTGTGTGCCACTATCCCGAGATATCTGGTATGCTTACAAGTATAGGATTTCCTAGGACACAAGTTATTTATCTTCTTAAATTTAATCATAATCACCTGATTGCATAACAAAGAGTTAAAATATTTCCACATACTATGATCATATATTCCCAGAACTACAGACTCATACAATATAAAGAGTCCAATGGGACTCTTAGGGATTGGATTATCACTTAACTTCAATTTATAATTTGTCAAAGGCCTAGAAATGTTCGGTGACCTGTTCTAAGTCACAAGCCCTTGTTGACTTTTTATTTATACTTTTTAAAATTATGAACATAAACATTTTCCTCTTTACCATCTTTTAGAAAGACACATTGCAGCTGCGGATGGTGGTATACACCTGTAGTCCTCTGCTACTCAGGATGCTGAGGCATGAAGATCATAAATTGAAGGCCAGCCTAAATAACCTAGTGACACTCTGACTCAAAACTTAAAACACCTGAAAAGGCAGGGGATGCAGCCCAGTGGCAGAGCATACATAGAAAGATGTTGGGTATTGAGGGAGTCGGTGGTCTCTGTGTGGTCCCCGGGAGAAAACGGTGAGAGGATTTAGAAAATAAAGACAAAAGAGGATAGCCGGGGTCAGGTGGAGTTATCTTTTGCCTGATGAGCAGGAGGACTGCCCAAAACCAGTAGAGCGTTTATTTATACCCTGGAGAGGTTGGTTAACTTTTTGTCTGGCTGCCCAAAAACCAGTTAACAAGTTACAAAACCTTGTTTACTCCAAGGGGCTTGTTTACTTTGAGGAGCTCCGAGTTCTCAGGCTGGCTTCATCCTGTTCCTGTAATTATTTTCCAGATTCAGCGTAATTATTTTCCAGCTTCAGCGGCTCCCAACAGGGTATTAGGACTTCAAAATATGAATTTTGGACAAGGGGTGGCATATGTCATAATTCAACCGACAAACTTAAATGAGCCTAATATCTTCTACTCTCACCTTGTTCTGTGGTCCTTTGTCTCTCCTGAGCATATTAGTTAGAAAGTGATTAAAACACATGCCTGTAGTCCTAGCACTCTGGGAGGCTGAGGCAGGAGGATGACAAATTCAAATTTAGCCTAGGCAACCTAACAATTGAGACCCTGTCTCAATATCAATAGATAGATAGATAGATAGATACGGGGTTGGGATGTAGCTCAGTGTAAATGTCCTGGGTCTAATCCTCAGTATCCCAAATAAACAAAAGCCTTTTGAAAATAGCATAGCAAATGCAATCAATTACTAGTACCAGTGACAGAATGCAAAGAGGTCTAACAATCACTATAAGTGCTATGATATGCTATAGATTTCAGTTAGTAGCTTTGATTTGGTATTGGCAGGTGACTATATCCACTATTTGCATTATAGAAAACCAAAAAGTAGCTGTGAGACTAGTTTGTTAAGTAATACAAAAGCAAAATTCCCCAAGTAAAGTAAAACTTAATGAATATCAAAAATTTGTAGTGACAGTATGCATGGAAATAGGGGACTCTCACATATATTACTAGTCCCCTTGGACTACAACATTGGAATCATAGGAAGAACAAAGACAATGAATAATGTCTAATTCATAAATGTGACCTCACTTACACCATGCCCTAAACATCGCCACTTAACATGGAAGGAAATCTGATTACTTCACTGTCCTTCACACTTTTCAGTGGTGCCTTTGCCTATCCCTATAGGATAAGGGTTAAATTTCTTTGCAAACTGTCAGTCTAGCATTGTTCTTATTCATGTTTAATTAAGCTCTTATACTATTGAACTTGTAGTTGATCCCCAAGTAAGCCAGGTTCCCTCAAAGGCCTGGTTTTTTTTCCCCTTCTGCTTAACATTCACTTTCTAAGGCGACTCAAAGGCTACCTTCATAGAGGGCTTTGCCTACTTCCTCACATGTGTGTGATTTTGTCTTACGTTCTTATTATTGAACAATCTTAACAATGATTGTGTTATACTGTTCTTTCCTATTTTCGTCTCCCTCTACACTATACATTCTCTGAAAGCAAAGACCATAGCATTTTACATTTCTCCTGAGCTCAATACATTAAAGATTCCCTAAATAGTTCTTGGTTACACTCCCGATTTTTAAGCACAATTTGTTTTACACTATACTTGTTTTCTACAGAATGTTCTAAAAATATGAAATTTAAAAATATACTTTAAAAGTGTTATGTATCTGTGATCTCTCTTTTACTGTTATTTTAAGGTAGCAGGATTTAAGTTTGTGAATTTGGATTTTTTTGTGCTTTTATAGGAGATCTGCAACTGATTCTGTAGCTATAGAAGCTTTGGGCAGACACATAATGTTATAAACTAAGGGATTATGATTTAATTTTAGGGCCCTTAAAACAAGAAAATTCAAGTTTTCTTTTTGAAAAACTGCCACTTTTTATTGTAATGCAAAATAGTTGCTATTTTAAGCGTACAATTCACTAGCATTACGTAAATGTATAATGTTGGGCAATCAATATCCGTTTCCATTTTAAAATTTTAGCGTTTATTACTTTATCTAGTAACCACGATGTGGTATTGAGGGTGACAGTCATGTACAAAACACACAGGAGAAGTTTCTTTCTCTTTTTTACCCCTCTACCCCGGAGTACAGTTTCACATAAGGAGCACACTTACTGAACAAACGTAAAATCCGTTTGAAACCGTCAGGGCAACATATAGGCCAGTACGGAGCGGGTAAAAACCGCCGAACTAAATACAGCGCAGAAAGAGCACACTCAGATGCCAACCAAAGTCCTACCTTGGGGAAAGTAGCTCGGGACGATCGCTGGTTATCAGGAAGGTAAATTAGCTGTGGTGCGCTCTCCTTAGACCCTAACACGGAGGTTGTTAATCCGGGCTTGGAAGATCTGCGAAAAGTTGCTCTGGGCACTTAGGAGAAGATGGGCACTTGGGGGTGTGTGGGGGCGGATCCACAGCTTTCGCAGCATTCTGTTTTAACATTTAACACTTCAAAGGGACACGGAGAAGGGGAACATGCGGACATAGGCCGGGCGGGTTGGAGGCGGGCAGGCGCCGGAGGTGCGTTCTCCGACGCCGGGCTCGGTGCGGCGGTGCAGACCCGCAAGGATTCCAACTCAGCGGCAGCCGCTGGCAGGCAGAGCCCAGAGCACTGGAGGGCGTGGCCAGGCAGCCTTGGGGGCGTGGTCTCGGGAGGGCAGGGTCAGGGAGCCGAGGGCGTCCCTTACCTCCCGAGTTTGACGCCCGGGACAATGTGGGGGCTCCCGGGGCGGGTAGTGCCTGGCCCGCGACAGGCCGGCGCAGCCTCCTCACACGCACCCTGTCCGAGGTTCCCTGCCTCGTCTAAGTCAGGGTCTGTCCCGGCCTCTGCGGCCACAGGAGGAATGGGACAACCTCTCCGCAGGGAAACTGCTCCATCTCTCCCCACTTATTATTGTTTAAGGACGTGCGGAAGACCCCACAGGGCCGCGCAGTCAGGCTTCCAGGAGACAGCGCCACAGAGCCAGGCTGGAACGTAAGAAAGACAGGATCTAAACTGTGATTGGAAGAGGGACAGGATAGGCTTCTTCCATTACCTGAGCGCTATCAAACCGGGTCGTCGCCGCCGCCGCAAACCCTTGCAGAGCGACCCACAAGGGGACGCTTCGTATTTTTAAATCCGGCGGGGCTTTCCCTTCTCGTGTTAACCACGCCCCTCATTTACTACTCGAGCCAATCAGTGCCAGGCCCGCCATTTTTCAAACCCTCTTCCCGCCGCCAATCAGGCTCAAGCAGTACATTCCTCTCCAGACCGGTTCTAACGGGTCTGGGAGTTAACGACCTGAGCGACCCACCGAACCTGCTAGGCTGGCGCTGGGAGGGCGGGCCTAACGAGACATTCTCCAATCGAAAACCGATTTAGAGAGGGGGCGGGGACTCTTCGGGTTTGAATAATCCGAAGAGCCAATCAGAGAGGCAGGGGTGTGGCCTGTGGCGGGGTTTGTCAAGTTGCAGTGGCGCGGAGAACTCTGCAAAACAAGAGGCTGAGGATTGCGTTAGCGGTAAACCAGTTCACGCCGGAGCTCTAGGGAGGAAGCGTCTCCGTCGGACTCGGCCGCTCTGAGGAGAATCTCGCACCAGGCAAGAGTCTCCTCAGACCCCCGGGTTTGCGAGGCCGCAGTTCCCGCCTGGCTCACCGCCGGCTGCCGGCTCTCGGCGTTGGGGCGGCGAGGGCTCGGCCTGGCGGGCGGGGTTCGGGGAGCGGGCGGCGAGG